GGATTGTGCCCTTAATTATTGTTTTAATTTAACATTATTAACCACTTTGGGTTTTTTCATGAAAAGTGGGTACCCCAGCAAGAGAGCCAGCACCTAAAGAATCAAGAATGCACCCTTTAAGTACCAATACCTTCCCCTATAGTTTGACCTACCTGGAACTTGTCTAGCTCCCCAGTGCCTCCACACCTTTACTGGAGCAATATCTTGGTCTGCTGCTTTTGGAGGCATATGAGCAACCTGATTTCCCTTTTTTAAACTCCTGAAAGCTGTTCATGGTCAACCTCCTTGCCTGGATTCTTGCCCGGCTTCTTGGTTCTCCCTGTGGACTCTGCCTTGATTGGGCAGGATAGCTGTTTACTGACCTCCTGAACAGTGACCCAGATACTCCAAGCAGATATAATCTTAAGAATGTGCAGCTCCAGAAATCTCCATGCAAATGCCTGCGTTGTCCGAACCACGGTCAGAAACTCCAGGAGACGAGGCGCCAAGCCATCAACCAGCTCTTGCCATTCACTCATTTTTTCCGCTATGAAAATGGAGCAATTGATTTCAGTGCAAAATCAGAGCAGGAGAAGCCGGAACAGGAATTTGCCAAAAGTCTTCCTCATGGAATTTACCAGAGAGAGGGAGGAAAGAGTAGCACAGCAAAGAGAAGTAAGGCTTCCTACAGAGAACTTGCCCCTGCTTTGGTGGTGCTAAGAATTGTGTTTTAGAGGTCTATATTCTTCCTCACACAATGACAGCTTTCAGAAGGAAGGGAATCACTTTTCAACTGTTTAAATCTCTCCATTGATTCGTTCACAGTCCCCATTTGCTAAATACTTACTACCAGTACTAAGTGGTACTGATGACAAAGTAGGTTGTGCAAAGGACACAAAATTGCTTGTGAACACAACGGGATTTACTTCTAACAGAAGAGAGCAAGCAAAGCCATTCCTCTGATAGAGCACAGCGTTATGGATAAACTTTTACCATCCTTATAGGATGGAGTGACGTGTGCTTTTTGGACTGGGAGGGAGGATGTTCCACCTCTGGGACAGAATAGAGCACTATAAGAGTTCTACTTTCATACCCAGCCATCAACACCTAGCATCCTCAGGACCCACCAGGGCCCAAGGAGAGTCCCCCATCACCCCTCCACTTCAGTTTTGCTTTCCGGCCGGGCATTCCAAGAAGCTCTGGGGACTGGATCCAGTCACCATTTTAATTTCCCACAGCGCTATGGACATTTTGTCATTCCAGGGCATTGTGGGAAATGTATGGCAGCTAGGCCAACCACCCAGTGCTGTTGCTGCTGCAACCTACCAGTGGTGGCAGTAGTAGGTTGTAGGGGGGACCTCTATGGGGGAAGGAGAACTCCCAGGGGACATTTTGCCCATGGCTTCGCAAACCTGGGGACAGCATTCTTAACAGACTTTAACAGTACTAGGGCCAATTCAGAGAAGATTTCCAGGAACAGATTTCTGTTCTTGTGCACCATGAAAGCAGCATTTATCGTAATGCAAGGCTTGCTTCCTTGCTTCCTTATAGCTTCAAGGCAGGAGAAAAATGCGTGCAATTACCCAGATTCTCCTGTTGGCCCTTTCTTACAGTGTCGTCAGATGGGTCCAATCCATCCTGTAGCTGTTTTGCAGCCAACCTGTTGAAGAGGCAGATCAGAGTTAACAGCTTCGATCCTGACATAGCCAGTGAGGCTTTATTTCAGTCATTGGGAAAGTCCCACAGTACTCAGGTTCAGGACCAGGTTTGCATATGACAAACAGCCGCAGTGCAGGAATTTTCCCATGGGGCTTTTCCTAATGGCAGGGGCTGCCATTCTGACTATTGGAGCCATGCAGGGAGCCACTGTTGCTTGTTATGTGTGCTCCTGCTGAGGATGGGTTGTTGAGGTGCTTGACAGCCCACGGGCTCTCTTAGGGTTGTGGGTGGCTTGTCACCAGGATCACGCGTAATGACAAGCTACAGCATGATTCCACCGCAGCTCAGATACTGAATGCAATAGAAAGCCTGTGGGTAAATTCTCAGCACTTGCTTCTCGTTTCATCCAGACCTACCCACTAGCCCCTCGGTTAAGGACAGCATGGGGATGCTAGCCTCCGGCTCTTAAAATGCAGAAGGCTTTTAAGGCATTTAAAAAATAAATTTACAGGGGAGAATAGAGATTAGACTTTGCGGTTGTTAGTCAAATATTACAATTTGTTTTAAAGTCAAACATCTTCAAACTTCATATGTTCTGTTTCTCGCTTACCTATTCTTCATGGCCAGGATGGTTTCTTTTACCCTGAGAATGTTAAAGAAAAAGAAACACAGCATCAGGAATAGTTCTGCACATGTGGAAGCCTTGAAAAGACTGAGGAAGGGAATCTTCCCAACATCCACTCCCTGGACCATTTACTGGCACTGCAAAGGACTGAATGGGGAGTTCTGCATCCAGAGGAGGTGTTCTACCATTTAGCCACAGTCAAGGTTGAGCTATTCCTCAGTGTGAATTAAAGCAGAGCCTTCTGTCTATCTACTCAATAGTCAGCCCCATGGAACTCAGGGTGACTTAGTCCCTGGTAAACAGCTTTAGAACTGCAACTTTATAAAATCTAACAATATGCTGGAGGTGCATTCCCAGGTGTATCATATTTTAACAATAAACTGCCTTTCTGGATTTTGTACCTTCGACATATCCAGTTTGATCTGGGTTTTAAATAGGATATGAGTTCAGCTCTAGAAAGCAACCAAATCATATTCTTGCTATGGGCAGCTTTAGTCTAATTGGAGCATTGCTCACTGTACAGAATGCCACTGAGTACGTCGATGAGAAAATGACCATCATTCCAACCAGGACTTCCAATCGCTCCACAGATTGGAATCTCCCTGGGCAGCCCTTGTCAGGACTTCTGCATCTGAGCGGCTAACAATGCTAACAATGCCCTGTCTGGATCTGCATGATGAAAGCTGCATTTTTCTTGCTATAGCCATGGTTTTGTAAAACAATGCTAGGTGATGAAAGCTGGGGCATGGAACACTACAAAACAGGAGTAGTACATAATTTGGAGAAATGGTCCAGAAATGCTAATGGCTCAGCCATGGTACATACATTTTCCCTAACAGGCCAAATTGGTTCTGGGGAGGAGGGGAATTTTCATCTGCAAAACTGCAGAGAGAGAAAGGATTTTCCAATCGATCCTTTCCACAATGCTGCAAGAAAGCCTACTCACGCATTAGCCAGAGAGTACACCCAAGTCTCCATTTTCCTATCCCTGGAGAGAAAAAGAACATATATCTTACTGCTTGTCTTATTTCAGCTACAGTAAACAGAATGCTACTGAACAGTAATTTTCTTTTAAGGGGTGTGTTTGTATGTGTGTGTGAGAGAGAGAGAGAGACTTAAGGGTGCAATCCTATGCATGTTTAGACAGAAAGATATACAATTCTTAGCATCTTGTTTTGTTTTGTTCCAACATGCATATGGCTCCCATTAAAGGCATCATTCTCACAGCAGTTCATGTCTTATATACTTGTATGTCATATTCCTGCTTTCCTTCATTTAACGGTTTCAAATAACCATTCCCATCCTCGTATTTTTCTCTTCAATACCTTGACTTGAATACTTGACACAAACCTCCATTCTGAGAAAGTTATGCAACAATGAACTGTTCTATAAACAGTTCCTTTGAAAAAAGGGGAAATTCTAGTTATTATGATCTGAAAGGCTATACAGCGAAGGAAATGCATGCACCATTCATGCATCACAAACAACACATGATTTCAAAACATACTGATCTCTCAGTGAGAGCAACATTTTCACAGTCACACACACACATTTCTTGTTGCAGAACACAAGCTCATCAGGCTGTGCATAATACCTGCCAGATGAAGAAACTGGTCTGATTGAAACACTGGTCAGATCTGTGATCCTGAGGAAATCATTGTGAAAGTAATGCAGCTGAAGGATGCAAGCCAGAAGAAAGGCACCCGGAAGCAGAATCCTGGCAAACAACTCCAAAGTGTTGAATCGCTCAAGGCCCACATCTTTTAACCTGTCAAGTGAAGAAAAAGAAAGATATGCACAGATCAGCCTGAGGGGAAGGAAGAGTAAATTCATTTCATAGGTCCTGAAGTATATCCAATACAAGCGCCATTCTTCAGTGAAACAAAGGATTAAACAAGCCATTTACTAGGGAAGACACAGGAAAAGCAGCCTCCCTCCTTCATAAGAAAAACATTTAGGCATCCTTTGGCCAGATTCATCCAAATGCCAGCCCAAGGTTTCCTTAAACTATCATTAACCCATAATTTGTTGTCATACCTAGTGTTTGTCTGGTGGATGCTAGAACAAATCATGGTTTGTTTGTTTGTTTGTTTAATTCATGGGTTGTGTTGATTGTTCCCTTTCTCTTCTCCTGCTCCTTCCCATTGTTCCAAATCTCCGTGGTGCTGTAGGACTGGCATGCAGAGGAGCTGCTGTTCTGTACCCCTCTTGCCCACTGTTTCTGTCACTTGGCAAAGCAAACCATGAACAACCCACAGTTCCGGATTTTGCGATAATGACATCCCATGGTTTAAATAACTCAGAGTTCACAACCCAACAAGAAAGCATGGGTTTTCTTTATGCATTGCTTATCGTTAACAAACTATGGGTGTTACCATGGCTGGGTTTACACATTAACAAATATCAACAACCCATGACTTAAATGAATCATGTGCGAACTGAGTCTTTGCAAGCTTCAATACCTTGGTTATTCATTAGGGATTGGACTATTGCTCTATTATTATTATTATTATTATTATTATTATTATTATTATTATAACATTTCTATGCCGCCCCTTGCCGAAACCTCGGGGCGGCTTACAACATGATAAAATACATTGAAATACAATAGTACATAATAAATTACCATTAACTATAAAAATACAAAAATTACATTGATTTACAAATACAAAATTAAAATTATCAGTATAAAATAAAAATATAGGATGAGAAAGAGAAGGAAGAAGAAGTTGCCCAGGCCAGATCATATGTTTTAACAATTGAAATGATATTTAAATAAAAAGGTCTTTACCTGGTGCCGAAAAACCAGTAGCGACAGTGCCAGGCGGACCTCTTTGGGGAGTGCTCTTAGCAATAATGGGAGTGCTCTTAGCAAGGTAGACTATTCCTCTTTTTTTTTTTCTCATCTTTGCTTCAAAAGGTACACATTCCTTCCCATATTTTTTCCAGTAGAAGAAGTACCAAATCACCATTTACCAAAACGCTTAAAATTCTCTCACATACCAAGCACCATGCACCCCCTGAATTACGGAATTCCTGTCCAATACATACTCATTCTCACATGGCATACACACAACATTCAGAAAAATAAAAGTCTTTTTGCTTTTCACTCAAGCCTCACATTCCAAACAGTTGCAAGTTCAACAGGGGGAGAGAAAAAAACCAACCAAGTTCCACTACTTTCCAGAAACCTCCTCAACACATAAAAGGGTTTTCTTCCTTTCTGCATCTTTGCCTCATTTTTTCTTTCATTTCCACAATCCATCTGCTCACTTGCTTTTTACCTTCTACTTACAACATCTACAAAAATTCCAATCCAAACCCCATGGAATTTTAAACACAGATATTCACAAGAGGCACATAGCAATGCATGCCACACATAAATAACATTCAATAGGGAAAGTCTTATTGAAGACTTTCACTACATATCCATTCATACTATATAATGAATATATTATTCATTATATTTTAAAGGCATGGCCTATGATCCCGGATCCATGGAGGCAAAATTTTTGTGTATGTCAACAGTATATTGTAAAAGTATACACGCACTACAGAAGACCCAGTTGAAAAGAATTTCTACCTTTAGTGGAAGAAATTCTATTTTGGGAGCTGATAAGGCAATAGCTGAACCAAGGTCAGTTGACCAACCCTACGGAGAAACAGCTTGAAGACTGACTCAACCAACACAGGGCAACACTTTATAACAGGCAAAGAACTCCAGAGAAGAATATTACATACAGCTAAGTTACTGCACTACAGAAGCCTATATTTTAATATCAATAACAAGAGCTATATTTGCTGCTATACAATGGGATTTAGAACTTGCAGTAAAACTTTCCAAAGTAGAGTCTGAAATTAGCACATTTTAAATCCAGCATAAAGCTCATAAGCTCTTACCTCTCCTCAGATATTTTCAAGGTGTTTAGATAGAATGAAGAGACCATTTCAAACTGATAGGTATAGATAGCAATGAGTACCACCATTGAATAAGTAACGACAGTGAGCCAAAACACCTTCAGAGTTCGTCGCCACATCTCATAATGAACCTGAAACCAAAAGATTTGGATCCATGCCTTAGTACTGGTTCCAGAAAGAAGCTGACAGACATTTTAGAGGTGAATTTGTGCATGAGATATGGGCAGGGTAAGTCAATTGTACCTTCCAAGTATTCACAATTCCTCTGCTATTATTTCGAGAATAAAACATGGCACTAAGGGACTATAATATATCTTACAACATTGTAGCTAAATCAGTCGAAAATATAAATGATTAGAGAAGGTATGATGGACCCATCCCATCTCTTCTATTCCCTTTTAGAAATTGCAAATCGTTTGTGCAGACCTGAGTGTTTTGGGGAGAGGGGTCTAGAAAGCACTCCAGACTGCCACAAACTACTTTTTCACTCTGCTGCCTCTCCCACTCCCCTTTTTCCATGCCTTCCTTCTCTAGCCCTCTCTGCCAACTTTTGCAAGCTTGTCCCCTGCCAATCTGCTTCGGCAAGCAAAAGCAGGCTGCTGATATTCCACTCAATGGAACTGAGCAAAGCTAGAGAAGCATCCAAAGAGAGGGGAGCGCTCACATTGAAAACACTGCATTATGCTAGGCAAAGTTGCTTGCAAGAATGTGCAGATAGGTCGTGCAACGCACATGTTGGTAGAAATGCGCATGAAGATGCATGTGCCTGTTATGCAAACTTCCTCTAAAGATGCAGATTGACATGGAAAGGGGATGAGATAAGTTAAAAATTAGAAAATGGGGAACAGAGAGACACGGAGATGGACAGATTCATTTCTCCCTAGCTGTGACTTGGCCAGACACTGCTTTTCTTCACTGGACAGAAAACAGCCTCGTGACAAAGACACAGAAGTTGCTGTGGTGGTTGTGGAAGAAAAGGGCAGACTTATGGGGGCGGCAGATTCTAGGCTTGCTCACCTGGTACAAAGCCACGCAGAGCAGAAAAAGCACCGTGTAGAGGATTTTGTACAGGACCACTTTGCCACTGAAGCTGACAATAAAGAACATGATGGAGCAGAAGTAAATCCAGTATTTTACTAGCATCCCTTTATACACAGAAGCAAGGATATTCCAAAGCAGGTTCCGGTGTTTGTCCATTTCTGTAATAGGATTTGTTAAATCAGTCAGGAACGTCTTCAGCATGCGCCAGGAGTCCAGAACTACCTTTTCAGATAAGCCAACCTTATTACAACACTTTCCTTTTTCATTCATCTTTGGTGCTGGTCACCTTATCATTTAAGGCTACAATCCTATCTATCTATCTATCTATCTATCTATCTATCTATCTATCTATCTATTTCAAAACTCTTTTAGACCAGCCCTTACCAAAAGATGGTTTAACAATAAGATAAATAAAATAAAACACAGCATCCTAATCTATCCTGTCCACAGTTAGCAGAGTAAACTCCACTGAATAAAATGGGACTTGCTTCTGAGTAAACTTGTAAAACTGCAATCCCATAAACACTTAAAGGTATGTACCACTGAAGTCAGGTAACCCAAAGACCCCTGGCTAGAAGGGCTGGGTGGGTTGAAAGACGTTTGTACAACTTTTCTCCCACTTTCTGGCATAGCAATAGCCAACAGAAATTGCTAGTGAGCTCAGTGAAATTTTGTTTTATTTTATTTTATTTTATTTTATTTTATTTTATTTATTTATTTGGGTATTTTTTATCCCATCCAATACCCAGTGTATCTCAGGATGGCTTACAATTCAAATCCCATAAATACATAGATACCCAAATAATACAAATGATCCACAAACTGAGCATAAAAACATAGTTAAAATCAAACATTAAAGGTACAGAAGAATAAAAAGGTCTTGACCTGGTGCCAAAAAGCATATAACATTGGCGCCAGGCGTACCTCCCTGGGGAGAGGATATTAGGAAGTTTCAGGTCTTTCTCAGGATGGCATTATCTGTTTTTCTATGTCATGTGTAGGACACATTGTTTGCTTCAAACATTTCTCCAGGTACCAAGTACTAAGGAGCTCTGGGGCAATTCTGAATTGTGCAGAAGACCTGGCTTTGAAAAATGTGTGAGTAAAGCAACCCACACCTCCTAAAATTGAAGGAGGCTTATATTCCTTTGCAAGTAGCCACCCTAAATCTGCATCACCAAATGCCCAAAGATCAGGCAGATTTGAGAAAGTACCATATCAAGACTGAACAAACCCACCTTCTTTTTAAAGGCCCCTTGAGTACTAAATCTCCTTACCAGCCTCATCCACAGTCACGTCCCGGAGTGATTCCTCCTTTTCTTTGCTTCTCCTTTGTCTTTCTATCATATGCTGCTTCAGCAAAAGCCAGAAGGTAAAGAGATATAAAATCTGCAATAAAATCACATCATTATTCTGAGAGGAGTATAACTAATCCACACGCTTGACATCTTGTGGAGCATAACAAAGAGAGAAAAAAAGGGAGGGAGAGGGAGAGAGAATTCATCATAAATTCTGAGAGTTAAGCAACACATTCCTTAGCTATCTTTTATTATTATTCTGCCTAAGATATTCTGTTTTGAGATATGTTCGAAAAGCTATATTTAGAAGAATGGGATAAGGAAAAGCTATTGAGTCTTGACGGTCAGAGGAGCTTTAACCCAGTGGTAGGTGACTTACTTTACATGTGGGAGGTCCCACATTTGACACCCATCCTCTTCAGCTAGGTTTAGGAAACACTCCTTTCTGAAACCCCAGAGCAGGGGTGGGCAACTGCCCATGGTCCAGTTTCAAAATCCCGCTACATTACTCCAACACTGAAAGAGCAGTCTGTCCCTATCCTAGCAACCGACTGGCTGGGACAAAGACAGGGAAAGAAAGAGAAAATTGGGTGGCAGGATGAGACGGGTGAAAGAAGTGCCCTTCCCACTCTGGTCTCTGCCCAGTGCCAGCATGTAGACCTTGGCGGATCTCTGAGGGAATGCAGCCCTCAGCAGAATAAAAGTTGCCCTACCACAGCCTCAAGGAAAGGCTGGCAGTCCGTACAGCCAATGCTGAGTAGTTTAGGCCGCCAACTCACTGTTAAGGTCTTGCATTCAGGCCTTGCAGAGAATTCCTGCAATATAAGAAGTGGCATAGGAGCATAAAGTCAGAGCACTGGTCCCTCTAGCCCAATAATGTTGGCACAGACTGGCAGCAGCTTTCCCAGGTTCCAGGCAGGATCCTTCCCTTGCCTTACCAGGAGATACTGGGAATGGAAACGGAGACCTTCCACATGTGAAGCAGGAGCCCCCAGCCACTGAGCTCTGTCCACCCCAGATCCAGAACATGTGTGGAAAGGACCACATGTTTACTCAGTGTTGCTTCGAATGATTTACAAGGAGAGCCACATGGTTGGTGTGTCAAGGGAATCTCTTTCAGTCCCTCGTATTTGCAGGTGCTTTATCCTCATAAAAGGTGTTATGTCCCTCTATATGTTAGTATGGGACTGCAGGTGGCGCAGTGGTTTAAACCACTGTGCTGCTGGGCTGGGTGATCAAAAGGTCGCCAGTTCGAATCTGCACAACGGGTTGCGTTCCTGTTGCTCCGTCCCAGCTCCTGCCAACCTTGCAGTTCGAAAGCATGCAAATGCAAGTAGATAAAAAGGTACCACTTTGGTGGGCAGGTAACAGTGTTCCGTGCACCTCGGTGCTTAGTCATGCTGGCCACATGACCACGGAGAAGGTCTATGAACACACGCTGGCTCCCTCGGCCAGGAAACGGAGATGAATACCGCCCCCTAGAGTCAGGCATGACTGAACTTAATGTCAAGGGGAAACCTTTACCTTTATATGTTAGTATATAACAGAACGTACTACCATTATTAAAAACAATTGTGTGTAGACATCAACAAAGGCATCCACATTTCCGTATATTTCTCTGTTCAGAAATTATGTCATTATTTGAAGGCCACCTGTTCAGAAAATTGACAATTTAATTAAATCCTCCTTCACTGACAATGCTATTGCTGTCAGCAAGTTATCTTTCTAATGTTATAACATTAGTCTTTTGGCTGCCAAAAGGACACTGAAAATCCATTTACACTGACCTTGTATTGAATTCCAAGAGGTGGGTAGGTAATACTTGAATATTAAAGACTTTTCCATCACAAGATTTATCCAAATTATTATCCAAAATGTCATTGTCAATATATATGAAGAGAAGCATTAGCACCATTGCATCTCCAACAATTGGCTAACTCGTCTGGCCAGGGTGACTTCTTTTACATTGTTATTTATTTTATATTGTTAACTTTATATTGTTATTTTTGTATTTTATTGTATTTTATTGTGTTGTAAGCCGCCCCGAGGCTTCGGCAAGGGGCGGCATAGAAATGTTTTAATAAATAAATAAATAACTTAATGAAGCCCTCATCAAACAGATGTTGCGACATCCAAAAATGTGTGTATATACTCAAAAAAAGCAATGTCTACCTCATTAAGCATAGCCTGAGGTCCATAACCCCTTGTAAAAATAGACCATAGAATCACATAGAATCATAGAACAGTAGAGCTGGAATGAGCCAAGAAGGCCATTGGGTCCAAACCCTTGCTCAGTGCAGGACTCCAGGTAAACCATCCATCTCCAATGGCTCTCCAGCTGCACCTTGAATGCTTCCGCTGGAAGAGCCCACCACCTCCCCAGGCCATGGGTTCCATTGTCCTACTGCTCTTGACAGTCAGGAAGATCTGCCTGATGTTCAGATCAGGCAGAACCTGAATTGGAATAGCAAAGATAATAGTGAAGCACTCCATTGATTGGGCAAGATGGAATGCTCCAGCTCATTATTCCAATCTTGTCTAAAGGTAAAGGTAAAGGTAAAGGTTTCCCCTTGACGTTAAGTCCAGTCATGTCCTACTCTAGGGAGCGATGCTCATCTCTGTTTCTTAGCTGAAGGAGCCAGCGCTTGTCCGCAGACCGTCTCCATGGTCATGTGGCCGGCATGACTAAACACCGAAGTGCACGGAACGCTGTTACCTGCCCACTGAAGTGGTACCTTTTCATCTTCTTGCATTTGCAGGCTTTCGAACTGCAACGTTGGCAGGAGCTGGGACGGAGCAACGGGAACTCACCCCGTTGTACAGATTTGAACTGGCAACCTTTTGATCACCCAGCCCAGCAGCACAGCAGTTTAAACCACTGCGCCACCTGCATCCCAATCTTGTCTAGGACCCTGTAGATCATGTTTATGTATCACATAGCCAAGGTGCTGGGCTACATCTGAAGACATTGGGGAGCTGCAACCAGCACGAGCAGACAGACCAACAATTTGATTCAACATTAAGCAGGTTCCTAAGACATGTCTAAGTTATCATTTAAAATATCCTAAATGTTTCCCACATGTGGGGGGAGGTCTGGCTTCCTGGGCTATTCATTTGTTTGCTTTATTTTTAATATCCTCTGTGTTACAACAGGGATGCAGAACCTCTAGCCTGGAGAGATTCTGTACCTGACCTCAAAATCTCCTTTGATTTCTCCTCTGGGCAGGGAAGCTTGTTGCTGAGTGGGTGAGGCAATCCAGATTCCATGCTTAATGGTAGTCTAGAACTAATGATAGACAGACAGACAGACAGACAGACAGACAGACAGACAGACATTTCTGCATCTCTGTGTTACAAGTTCTCACACTTGCAGCCAAACTTATGCATGATTACTCAGGAGCAAATCCAAATGTGTTACAAGGGACTTCCTAGCAAGTGTGCTTAGGACAGAACCGCAGCCTTAAATCAGGGCTCAGACTGCATCTGAGGTATGCTCACTTTGACTCCCAGATGGACACAGGGCAGAGAATAAGGCTTCAAATCCAAGTCAGTAAGTAATGAAGTTGGAACTCCGGGAAACAATTCATCCTGTGAAACATTCAGTCCGACAAAGAAATTAAGGACCACCAGGGCATTCCCATAGCCTACAAGGAATGGTGAGCTCTGCAAAGCATAGAAACGACGGTTGCGCACCATCCAAATGATACAAGACCAAATCAGCAGAATGAAGGTCAGCCAGCTGTTGTGAGTGATGCTCCAAACCTGCAAATGAGAATGTATATACAGAGAGAGAAAGAGAGCGATTTTAATACTGCTGCCATTTCAAATCTTGCATAGTTCAAAACAGAAAATGTATACTCTCTAAACTATAAAATAAATATCTATTGAGGAACACTTCTTAGAAGCGGTCCAGATCAAGAGCAGCAATCCTGGAGCCTAAAAAAACCCACCATTGTTTAATAGCCTTTATATTTATATCCCAACCCAGAAAGAACAGGGCAAGGAGGCAGGGGGTGATCTAAAATACACAGAGGGGAGTTCTGTTCAAGTCTGTAACTTACCAGTGCGGCAATCAATGGGCCGATGTAGCTATGATTCATAAGAAATGGCAGCAATGCCAAAAATGTACTTGACCTTTTCCCATCAGCAGAATGCTCTTCATCCATTTCTGTTGTATCTTCAGGGCAAGTTGTCTCCTCTGCAAGGGACATTAAATTGGGAGCAATGGCTGAATAACAAAAAAAACCCAAGTGCTCAGTGTCTGGCTTGAGTGAATGATACGTTCTGTTTGTACATATGTGTGGCTACAAAACGCAAAAAGTCAATTCTTCATTAAGAGTTATATTCTTCTATATTTCAACCCTGTGGCAGAGGATTGTCCAAATCCCTCCTTTTTTAATTTCATTCTGCTGTCTTTGAAATGGATTCCAGACCAAGAAAGAGTAAGCCAGATTAAATCTGTGGCTGTTGAGTGTGAATACACTTATGCCACATGGCCTAATGGATTTGATCATGCTCAAAGTGCCATGGGACTCTTCTTTGTAGATTCCACAGCAACAGGCCCACCTGTTGCTCCTGCAGGACAGGTCCCCATGTCTCAGCAATCAAAATTCCCACATGGCGCTAACCTGTCATGTACCATGTTCACACTTTGAAACAAACCCCTTGTATGCACCAAGCAGTAGAATATACCTGATAAAGAAATGGTGTGTCCTTCGTTGGTGCAAGCATCCATACAGCAGCTACTTTGACTCTGACATCGTGAGAGGAGGACATCTTGGGAGCTTCCACGGGAAGCAGAAACAACCTGGGTGAAAATGAGAGCAGCTCTTATCTTCTCAAAGGGAGCCTCATGGAGTCCAGGCCCTGGCCAAAAGTGGTCAGAGCTCATGGCAAGGGAGGAGAGGAATTATGTAAGCCACTTTGGTGTCTTGAAAAAAAGGAAAGGGCAAGATATAAATCTAACAAATAGACAAATAAACCATGGGGCATGAAGAAGCTGTTTGCATAACAGAATTTTACCTTGCCATTTTCATTCATGATCAACCAAAGATCCGTTTCCACCTTCCTTTCCCTGCATGTTTCATCCTGTATCTGGATGCCCTTTTCCTTGCTTTCCTACAGGGTAGATTAATTTAAAAGGAGGAGAACATCCATCAAAATAACATTGGGTTAAACCCAGCGGCACTTCTTTGCTGTCTCCTCCCCACTGAAACCTTCTGTACCACCTGAAAATCTCCTTGGGCAGGTTGCCCACCCTTCCAGAGGGGATTCTGAGTGCTGAGAGGGCTGAGGAAGCCAGGAGGGGGCACTGGACTCAACTCAGAATGATTCTCGTTGGTATTTGAAACCAAAATAAAGACGGCTGGGGCAGTTCTGTGAATGTACACTCAGTTCTGAAAAAATATATGAAGCGAACATGAGACAAAAACACCAATTGAAGGAGCAAAAGGAACTCAGGGGTGAGGAGTGTAGAGCCCCCTGAGCAGTTCTTAAATCATTATTTCCTGTCAGAACCCCCCAACTCAGTGAAGTTAGAAACAGAGAAGCAGAGCGAGTCAGAAGGGGCCTCTCGGGCCATCTAGTCTGACCCCCGGCTCCAGTCGACTCCGCTCACGACATGCCCGCCATGTGCACGTCCAGCCTATCCTTGAACTCCTTTTGGATCCGGAGTCCCTGCTCCTCAGTTGCAGCCACTGCCCCCGTTTTAGTATCATCTGTGAATTTGATCAGCAGACTTGTCACACCATCTTCCAGGTCATTGATGAAAAGATTGAACAGAATCGGTTCCAGGACAGAGCCCTGGGGGACCCCGCTCATCACTGATGACCATCCTGATGATTTCCCACTAATAGTTACCCTCTGCTTTCGGTCCATCAAGCATGCCCTAATCCATCGGACAGTGCATTGGTCGATCCCAAAACTCAATTTTTCAACCAGGATATCATGCAGCACTTTTGTCAAAGCCCTTGCTGAAATCCAGGTAAACCGCATCCCCTCCATCTAGCCACCTCAAAACCTTATCATAGAATTCTACAAGGTTTGTCTGGCAGGACCTGTTTTTACAGAATCATGTTGCATGGCCGCAACCTCCCTTCCCTATCTAGGTTTACTAGATCTCTTGCTATTATTAGCCTTTCTATCATTTTTCCTACAATGGACATAAGGCTAACTGGTCTGTAATTCCCCATGTCCCCTCTACTATCTGTTTTGTAAACTGGGACCACTGATCCCACCCTCCACTCCTCTGCAACCTCACCCATTCTCCATGAGGCCTCAAAAATGGAGGCCAGCAGGCATGAGGGTGCCCCCACCAACTCCCTAAGTACCCTTGGGCACCTTTGTCATGTCCAGTGCCCTGAGGAGCTCCTCGACTTCTAGGGGGGATGACTCTAATCTGTGGCCCTCATCCCCAGCCTCATCTGATCCCCCATGAGGATCTCCCCCATCCTGCTTTGGGGAGAACACAGAGGCAAAACGATCATTTCGCATCTGTGCCTGTTCCCTCACATCAGTCACCAAATCCCCTTCCTCCTTATTAAGTGGTCCCACCATCTGTCTCCCCTTCCCCTTCCACTTACATGCTGGAAGAAGCCCTTTTTGTTGCTCCTGATATTCTTGGCACGTCTCAGCTCATAATCAGCCTTAGCCTTGTGAAGAATCCTTCTGCAACGGGCCTCCTCCTCCTGATACACCCTTTTGTCTGCTTTTTCCCATTTTTTAAAATTTGAAAAATAAATGCATCTGTTGATACCATCTAGCTGCAGGAATAGTTTTCAAATATAATAGAAGTTCTGCTCACCCTCATTTCTTACGGTTTCTGTGCATTTTTGCAAATAATCAGATCAATGGAAAATAAGAGGTTGGGTCAGTTGCAGCCCTGCAGCCAAACTAGAGATAGATTATGCATTGCTCTTGATGGGGATCCCAGGTCTCCGGTTTAGTGAGCTGTATTTTAACGCAGCCCATACCTTATCAAGCAGTGCCCCCTGCTGGAGTAGTGCGACCAGCGTGCAGTACAGCGCCAAAAGAGCGAAAGGATTCAGGCCCACTGGCCAGTTTAGCTGAGGATGAACTTGAAGCTTCCAGAGTGCTGTCCGGTTGGTCTTAACAAGTGGCACTATGCCCAGGACCCTGAAGAAGGAGGAAAAGGAGAACTGATTGCCGGCACTTCATCTTCTGCTATGGTAGAGGTGAATCGAACCCAGCCCACCTGGATTTGAGTCCCAATTGGAACCCCTGGGGTTTCCCAGGTAGCCACACCCTCTTCCCACACGTCCCCCTTTCTCTTGAATGTTGATCGGTGCTTTCCTGCCTCTGGGAATCTTCTTTTCATTCTTAAAGGTCTGAATGCCCCTCTTGTCACTCGCATTAAGAGTTTTGAGCTAAAACACACTGCTTATATCATTTTATTTTATTTTGACCCCTTTGCCTTTGGTCACACACATCAGTGGAGTGGAACTGTCCAGAACTTCTCCAAAATGGAATGCAGCCCTCACAGTGAGTTTTGATACCCTGTTCTGTGAAAAAGGAGAGGGAAAAATGGCAGCCCCTTGGGCCAGTTTATATGTGCATGACCAACATTCAGTGACTGCAGCATCACTTGCTGGCTGGCATGTGTGAATCCAGCATCGGACGGGCAGCCCAAGCATAGCATTCATGTCTCTGCAGAAGTCTGGTCTACCTGTGGTGTCAAATTAGACAGTGAGTCGACTGGGAGACTATTCTGGTTGAATTCTCCCAGGCTGCTGGTGAGGGACGGCATTTTCAAATACCCCCCAGTAAAAAGTTGCCTACAAGCTACATGCTGCATGAAACCAAGTCTAGTTTACTACATGAAAACAAAGCATGTCGATTCAAGGATAGAGCCCTCCCACACCGCTCCGTGTGTACGGTGGCTTGTTTCAACTGAGTCAGCTCAGACCTTCATAAATTCCAAGGGACTGAGTCAGCAGTGCAGTGATGCCAATCACAGCCTAGTAGTATTAAATTGCTTTGTCATGCTTACGATTGCCCTGCAAACAACATAAGGTGCATATGACTTGGCTTCATGAACCATTGGCAGGGCTTTTCTTGAGGGAATGGCCCTGATGCATCCTGTTTCAGTTTCCTAGATCTCCAGGAAAGGAAGGGGAGGGGAAGGGAAGGGAAGGGAAGGGAAGGGAAGGGAAGGGAAGGGACCCCCACAACAAACCCCAGTACAAAGCAAATTCAACTTCTGAGAAGTATTTTGCATGCTGCAGATCACTTGTATTCACAACCCACCCCCGTATCATTTTGACAAATACCGAATAAGACCACCAATATTTTGCAAACACAAAACTGCACCCTTTATTTATTTCGAATCCACTGTGTGGGTTGAATGATCCTCCTGCTCTTAACTGGTAGCAAGATCTCTTTACCTGACATGAATATCTTCAGGAGGAACAAGATCCTGAAAGAAGGGCAGCTGGTACAGATAAAGGACGAACAAGTGCCCTGCGCTGAAAATTGCAATCGAAACGTACAAACTGTGGAAGGCATCTGGGCTGATCCGACGATGGCAGGACCACCAGGAGCACAAGCCCAGGAAGATTAAGAAATAAACCGCAGAAGCTGCAGAAGGGAGGATTATACCTAAGGATAAGAAAATCAAATACACAAGTTCAGGTTGATGTGCTGATCGTGTCTGTCCATCCAAATAAGCTCCAGTTTATACAGTTGGCAGAATAAGAACATAGAAACAGAGCGAGTCAGAAGGGGCCTCCTGGGCCATCTAGTCTGACCTCCGGCACCAGCCGGCTCCGCTCACAACATGCCCACCATGTGCATGTCCAGCCTATAGAATCAAGCATATTGATTCACATCTCACAACCTCCTAACTATGGCATGTCACACTACAGGTGAAGGGGTTCGGGGTGCAAGTTTGGAATCACACATGCAAGCCATCACTAGAAGTTGTCAACACCAGGCTGGATTCAGATGGGCCATTCGGTGAATGGAACGGTTATGTCCGTTCATGGAAGCCACCTAGATCTAGCAGCAGGGACTCCAGCTTTCCCATGATGCCCACAGTGCTGGCTTCTGAGCTGCTGTGAAGGACCTCCAGCCCTCATTTTCAGGAAGTAAAAGGGGAATTGTAAAACTCCACCTCCTTCCTCTGATACAATTGGAAAGGTGTTAAGCACTACTCTGACTACAACCTAATGCAAGAAATACATAGGGTTGGATCCAGGACCTGCCTTCCGGTGACCCTCACTAGGTGCGAATCTGTCCTTGAAAGCACCTTTACCTGCTATGCCTAAGAGAAGAACAGCCATGACCTGGTCAGCAGCCCTGCATACACCTTCACAAAGGATCTTCAATCCTTCCAGGAACAAAGTGAGTTTCAGAAGGATGTCTGATTGGCTCCTTCCCAGGCTGTCTGTCTCAAAAGAACCATCCGTTTCTTCATCCTCAGTACCATCTTCAGTTTCTGCTTCAGATTCCTGTGAACATGGAACCAGTAAGACAAGAATCAAACCCCCAAATTAGCTGCAAAGCCAAGTTGGCAGCATGATGATCGCAGGTTCTGCTTCGCTTTTGTCTCCATGCTGCTGCTGCTGCTGCTAATTTCATTTCTGTTCCACCCACAGCCAAACCTCTCTGGGCAGTTTACAAGAAGTTATTAGGGAGATATGCTGCTTCCCCAAATAGGTTATTAAGAATAAGGACCCTATTGGAGAGGAAATGGCAGTGGAACATTTGAGTATCATAATTAGTGATAAAGCTTTTTAAAAATATTGTTATGAGCATGTTGACACACCACTGCATGTAAATTTCTAACCTCATGCGATGTTTAGAAAAAGGTCAAAAGAAACAATAGCTAATGTTTAACTATTTTGCATAGTTAAACATTAAACAAGGTTTAATATGTTTCTCATTGTATGTGTACTGAGATCTGTCTGGCTTTAGAAGAAACATAGTGGAATTAGTCATATTAAGCATTAAGTTTCCTTGTGATTACTTCAAGGTTTTTTTCTCTCTAAACATGAGTACAAATGTGCCCTTTGAATGTCTGATGGTGTAGTCCTGTTCACACTTACGCCACATTGGATTTAGCTAGACTTGCTTCTAAGACGTATCTAATCCAGCTGTATGACTGCATAGCCTGCTGATGCCAAAACAGAGCCTGCTTAAATGTTAAGGTTACAAACTACACCAATATAAGGTTTTCTTGGTTTTAATCATCTTAAATAATTTGTTGCTGTCAACAAACTTGGCCACTCCACTGCTCACTCCTATGTCCAGATTGTTTCAGAATAAAATGAAACGGATTGGTCCTGGTATAAATCCCTACAGTGGAAACCTACAGTTTACAACCTTCCGTTGGGATAAATTACCATTTATCCTCTCCTCTTTCTGTTCTTCAACCAGTTACTGATTCGTAAGTGGACCTCCCCTCTTATTTCATGATTGCTAATTTTGCTCGGGAGTCTTTGTCAAAAGTCTTTTGGGAGTTCACATAAACAATGTCTCCTTGACATTAAATTGTTTGGGTGGGGGGAGTTGCCAGAAAACCATAGTTCTGTGTGGGAAGTTAGGAGGTTCCAACAGGGAACTTTCAAATGACCTTACTAAAATACATTCCCCAAGATCCATGAGGGGGAAATCAGGATAACAACATAAATGAATAGTGTCGATATGCCATATTGTGTTGATGTGCTGCACCGTCAGTGAAAAGCCACTTTTGGAAACGCTGTGCAATGGCTCAGATGCACAAGCTGATGTACGTTAGCTACAAGCATGTAGGAATCCTCTTTCTGTACTGAGAATTCCACCTTTTTGCAGAAGCAAAAAAGTGTTTTCTCTACCAGTTTGGCATCCTATAAATGTTGGTCTTGAACCAAGCTCTGGGGTATCTAGACTGGCTTTATCCTCATTATCAATGGGTGTCAAATTGTGAAATAGTGTTTCCCCTAAACAGAAAAAGAAATGACAAGGAAAGGCAAAAGCACCTGATTGTTTGCAGCCCATATTAGATGTGACCTGAGTGTTTTGAACACAAAAAGACACACCAGAGAGAAATCCATGGGAGTCCTGAATAAAATGCTTCACAAAAAGTCTTCAAAAATATTTTTATCTGTGAGCCAAAACATTGCTTAAAATCTGTATATAACAGCCTTGTCTTAACTGTTTTAACTGTTAATAGTATTTATTTATTTTATTCTTTGGCCAGGGCAACTTATTTTATACTGTTAATCTATATTATTTTAATTGAAGTTATTTATGTTGTGAGCCGCCCCGAGGCTTTGGCGAATGGGGCAGCATAGAAATTTTCTAAATAAATGAATGAATGAATGAATGAATGAATGAACTCTCGAGTAGGTGCAGTTTGAGGTAAGTCATCCCCTACTTCAGTCCACATTTGGATTGGACTTTTGTATCTACTCTAGACTAAAAATGAAAAAAGACACAGCTACTTGACATGGCTTTAAAGTAATCTGGCCCCGGGGCTCATACTAGGTGATAATGCATCCAGAGTACTTGTTCCTTCTATGACAGAAAAAGAAAAGTGCACATTCTAATCTTTGTAGAAGTGCCATAAGACCAAGAACAGAACACGTGTCTATATCACTACCATCTCCTCTTCCTCCTCAGCTTCTTCTTCGTCATCACCAGAGAAGCGATCTTGGCTTTCAGAATAAAGCTGGATTTTCTGGTTGTGAAGTTTCGTTATCCTTTCCCAAAGGCGTGTGATTGTGAGACCAGTGAGAAACAGTCCTCCATCAGGAGCCAAAAGTCGTATGATGTTCCCGGCATCAAGACCGTTAAACCTGTGGGACAAAGGATGGATGAGTACCCGGTCGAGTTTATGGTTTCACAGGCAGGTGGGGCAAACTGCCATAGTTCTGCCCCACTTAGAGTGCATGAAACATTGCTTAAGTCATGGCAAGCTTCTTGTGATATTTATTTTAATATTTATTTAAGAAATACATAATTCAGGAAAAAAATCTTACCTTAGAAAACCAAAATGGTTGAGCACGTCCTTCCATAAGAAATCTGGTAAACAGGAATACAGACTATTCTCAGTGTCTTGAGCAACCATTTTCATTTAGAAATGTTTATCTTTGTTTCAATTTTTATTTCAACTTTTTAAAATTCCTTCTGCTGGAAAATTTAAATGAGTGCAACTATAAATAGCCTCTTTCCCTCCCCATGAATCAGAATGTTTTAGATCAGAAACTGACAACCCTAGATATGAAATGAGTAAAATTTGGAAACTAGCAAAGAAATAGATGCAAAGTCAAGTATGTCCGATCCACCAAAAAACTGGCTTGGACACAAACTAAAAATGTTTCTTACAAGCCACTGTGCAAGCTGGATGGACTTCATGCTGTTGGCTTGAATCATATTTGTGGTTTAGAACCTCCTAGAAAAATGCAAAGAAGGAAAACTTTTTCTGGGTTTGGGGACTTGCCTAAAAGTGCAACAGTTATCGTTGCTTATATCTTTCATGTATTTATTTATTAGATGATGATGATTTTCATTACTGTACCACCCAATAACTGAACCTTTCTGGGTTGTTTACAACAGTTCGTAAAACAGATAATACCATAGAACACTATATAACATTTCCAAAATGCAAGAATGTAAAACAAATTAAAAATATACAGCTACATATGAGACAGGGCAGGCATGTAAAGCACAGCAGAAGTGTATTCCTCAGGCACATAAACATCCCTGTATGCCTTTAAATGCCTTGGCACAGAGGACCATCTAAATACTAAATCTAAAGTATTATAGTATTGACATCAGGGGGTCATCAGTGGAGGGATCATTCCATAATTAGGGGGCTGCCACTGAGAAGGCCCTCCCCCATTGCTACCCTCTAAGCCTGGCAATATCACACTTTTTCATCTAGCTTTAATAGAGATAACATCTTTTTACTACTGCCTTGGATGCTACTATTGAAACACTTTTACCATGGGGGAGCAGGTAGTTGAAAGCGATCTGAGAAGCCACTTGCACCACAAGGAAGGTGAAACTGGTATAGGTGACTGCTCTAAGCAGCTGCCCACCGGACCCTATAAAACAAAATCATAGGCTTTATTTTAATGGTCATTAGCAAGCCCGCCCTCCAGCCCTTGGTCTCAGAGAGAGTTGCAAAGGGCTGCAATCGGAAAACTTTCTCTTCTGGAAAAACCTATAAGAGAACACATCCCTGCTCTTCCTGGTATTTTTGAGGAAAGGTATGCAGGTGTGTGTGCGGATCCAGCTAATGAAAGGCAAAATATAGAGTGTATATATTACTGAACTTTACACAAACATCCCAAAGCATTGGTCCTTCCACCTGAGGCTGCTACACTCGGCCTTATTTGCAACATTTTATGGAAGGAGATTCAGATGTTGACATCTACGATTTATTTATTTATTTTTCGATTTATATCCTGCCTTTTTCCTACAAAGGGCTCAAGGCAGCTTAAATCATTCTCCTCCTCCATCTTATCCCCACAACAACAACCCTGTGAGGTAGGCTGGGCTGAGAGTCTGTGACTGGCCCAAAGTCACCCAGTTGGCTCCATGGCCGAGCGGGGACTCGAACCCGGATCCTCTGAGTCCCAGTCCTGTGCTCTTAACCACTACGCCACGCTGGCTCTCATACCCTTCCATACTTTCTCACCATGATGTCTGTCCTTTCCCACCCAGGAGCTGCACACTAACTACTGTCAGGGCAAAATGAGCAAAAACTCTGCCTAATATGGCTGCCGAAAGCATGACATTGTAAGAACAGATTTAGACTTAAGGTGGGATCCAGATTTAATCAGGAGACTATGTCTATTTATTTATGTATTTATTTAACACTTTTGCATACTGTCACTATGGCCATGTGGCTTTCTGGATGGTTACTGTACACAATAAAGCCATTAATAAAACGCAAGAAAAGCACGAACCATTCAATAATAAACAATGACACCAGTAAAACATCCACAATGTAGCAGCCAGTTAATATTACACATTAGAATTAACAAACTGGATACATCTTTAAAAAGACCATTAAAATTCAAAAATTCGTTAGTTAAAAATAGTAGTCAAATATTAAAAAGTAAAATTAAAGCAATTCCACCCCCCACCCCATACCCCTTGGGTATGCTAATATATGCCTGTCCTGAAACTTCTTTTTGTGTCATTTCTCTTAATCCACTCAGCCCTTTTGTCTTCACTCTCTTGTATCTCTAGAAAACTGCCTGGTCCCTCACTCTACTCCAAGCTATGCATGCATGCAACTAACAGGTTGTAAAAGCATCTTGCACTGACTCCATTTTGTTAGTTCTGTTGGGGGCTGCCTGCATGCCACATGCATTTCCTATATGTCTGAAGGAACTGTAAATCTTCTCTTGATTTACCCTCAGCACACCTGGGCTCACTGTTTCTTGACTCTGCTCATTAGTTAACTTGTATGACTCACAGACCATGGCGTAGCCTACACTCACCTAACCCGGGGGAGCTGGATGATAGGAACTGTAGCCCAACACATCTGGAATATGCTGGGTTGCAGAAATCCATTAAGGAATGGATTCATGTGATGCCTACCGTAGAAAACAGGTCTTCAGAAATTTGCCTACCTTTCATTGTGAGAGGATTAGGTCTGCGGCACAATGGCAAAAGCAGCAAGAAGATAAGGTAGACGACAGACATCCCATTGTATCTGAAACTGATAGCTATGGAAACAGCCAAAGATAATTATAAGAGCAGTATACTTTTCCACAAGACTTCCAGTTTAGAAACTAATGTATAAAGAACATAGGAAGCTGATCCTAGGTCACAGAAAATGTCCATCAAGTTTACTGTTTGAACAAGTCGTGGCTCCCTAGGCAGAAATCTTCTACTTGGACACCATCATACCAAGAACTGAACCTGGAAAATTCTGCGCTTGAGGCCTCTGCTCTAATCATTGAGCTAAAGTCCCTCCCAGACTGAATTCTAAAACTGAGGGGTCCAGGGAAACAATAGACAAGGCCAGTACCAAGGGTAGGCATGGCTGAGCATCTGTGGACAACCCATATCTTACTGGTGGCCCGCTAACGGGAGCCTCTTTGTCTAAATACTCCTCTATACCACAGCAACCTGCTTATACTAAGAACCATCAAAAACGATAACAAGAGCTTTGATCTTGGACACAGACTGCTGAAATCACACGGTAAACCCTCCACACCATGTAACCATTGTACAATTATATTAACCCAAACTAGGCAGTCCACTTTCATTGTACTTCCACTTGGATAGTTAACAGCTGTGGTTTTCTTGCTTGCCCTCTTTCCTATTGTACTGTTCCTGGATGCAATTTAGATCCAGTCTTCATCCGTTTCCATCTAATCTGTGTCTACATTCTACATCTTTAATACTATCCTCATTCAAACATATCAGCTATGAAAAGAGAACTTTTGTGACTACTGGAAGTCACTGCCCATAAATGTTTGTCCTATATTGACTGAAGTATCTCCTTAACAAAAGTCTTGTTAGGCATGAGTTTAATTCCTGTAATAGAACGTTGACGTCTCAATGATTTCAGTGAAATGGCAGCATGTGTCTTGACTCCAAAGAAAATTAAAACCACGCTCACTTTTGATCAGATTATATCCTATATTTGATTGAATGAAACCTACAGCCTTAATTATACTCTCCTGACATAAGTCCACTGAGTTAATGAACTTTGTGTCTTTTCTCTCTGTTTGTCATCCCCTCTTTAAGTTTAATACAGTAAACTTGATACACAAATGGAAATTTCTTACCTGCTATTAAGGAAAGTGGCAGACCTAATCTGAACATTAACCAGCAGGTTAAACTATCTGCCATGTTCTTCCCTATGCGGTTCTGGAATGGAGATCCAGAGAGAGCATCAAAAGCAGGGTATTGAGTGAATGGCTTGGCTCCTGCCAGCCAGCTAAAGGAAATGTCTTCAAGATGTCTTTCCCTTTATACCATTCCTCTCCGCATGTCCGGTAAATGTTAGCTCCCACAACTTTTAAAACCTCATTCCAAAGACGGTCAGTGTACCAATTGATTGCTCTGTATTAATTTTTTACAAAAAGTAGGATGAAATGTACTGAATCTCCAGCCATCTCCATGTTCTCTAAAATGGGAATTATTGATCAATTTTTATTTCCCGCTTTCCAACTCTGCACTTCAATCCTATATTCCTTTGCCTCTGAACAAGTTCTTTCAAACTTGGCTGTCAGGTTTATATCAATCTCTTTTCCTTTCCAAAGTTCTTGTTTGGTAGCTTTTCAGATCTAAATAATTAGCCAAAATATAATCATCCATTGAATGGCAGATGGGAACTTCTCCAGAACCAGGCAAGCTTGGCCCTCTATCTGTTTCAATACTTTGAGAGCCCAGTGTAATCCATCTGACAAAAGGATTCACACACAAAGATTCCAAAACAGACCAGCAGATGAAGTCTAAGTAGAAATGATCAGGCTTTAGTACGAGTCAACATATAAGCCCAATTGTATAAGGCAAGCTCAGGGAGAACAAATCCACCTTCTTTGATTGGGAGTCGCATCCTTTTCAGAGATAGTCATGGCAGAATGGAATCTCATGAAACAATGTACTACATTTTTGGAAATACTGTGTAACATATACATTATCTGAACCATAATATTAACCTTAAGTGTATTTACCTCACCTTATAAACTCAGTTTTAAGGATGCACATTTATCAATATCCCATAATACCTTATTCATCAATTTGTTCAAATTTAACTTAATCATTTAAAATATATCTCTAGGGATGAGTATTCTGAAATAAATAATGAGATCTGGGCAAGGTTTAAATCGCCAGATAGCAAGTGCATTATAGTATCTCCAGTTGACATCTAGTCAGAACTTATCCAGTTAACTGAGTAGCCAGACAAGTAACCAAAAGAATTATTCATCTGGATCAAAGCTGGAGCATATAACTAAAGTTTTAAAATTAACAATAAAGTATTGTCAGCATAGAGAATAAGTTTGAATTATAAACAATTATAATCAATTCTCAGTCTGGGAATACTATCATTTTATCTAACAGTGCATGCCAGCAGTTCCAAACAAAGATCAAATATGAGTAGAGAAAGTGAGGATCATTCTCTAGTACTTCTCCCAAGTAAGAAAAACCAAATGCAAAGCTACTAGTCATAACTCTAGTTCCTGAGTTGAATACTGGGTTTTGACACATTTCAAAAATTCTGCAGGAAAAAAACCTCAAAATTTCTCAACACTGAATGTAGCTGAAAGTTCAGTGCATTTTATCTCAAGGTCCATAGATACTATAGCATTTGATCTGGTCCGTCCATGTTTAGTGTGATGGGACCAACAATTGACTTCTGTTGATTTTTCATAAACCCCACTGGGTCTGATCAGACAACTGTTATAATCATTTGTTGCATTCAATTAGCCAAGACTACAATTAATGAGTGAGCTAGATGGATACTTAGCACAGTATCTGTGAACCTTATCAAGTTTAGGAATTATGGTCATATATGCATAATTTTGACTAAACATGTCCTATTCAAAAATAAAATTATAAGCTTTTAGAACTAAGACCATACTGCATATCATTCCAATAGAAATCTGACCAGACTAAGTGGTTTCAGTATTCATGTTGGTTATTGCTTTTGTAATTATATTAACATGCAAAGGTGCCAAACAACCCTGCCTTTGCAAAGTGTCTAAATTGGAAGGGCTTTCTCTGTGGTGGGGCCCCACCTATGGAATGCGCTCCCTAGGGGGTTCCGCCTGGCGCCATCATCATATAATTCTCTGCGCCAGGTAAAGACCTTTTTATTTAACCAATATTTTAAGGCCAATAGATTTTAAGTATTATTATAATTTTAATCTGGTTAATCTATTTTAATAATTAATTTATCTGTGTCAGTCATGGGACATTTAATTTATTGTTATTTGGACTGATATATTGTATTTATAGATTTTACTGTAAGTCATACAGAGACAGAAGTGATGGATGACCTAGAAATACTCTAAATAAATAAATAAATGCTTGACAATTACTTTCCTATTCTGCTATTTCACTTCCCCTACTGTGCAATTCTCTATAGAATTTTAAAAATGGGAAATGTCTGTCTTCGAGCAAAGAATATATCTTTCATCCTTAATAGCTGAAATATGGTTCAGCATGTTCGCTGCATATAAAGCAACAACAGATATATGAGATTTACACTTGGTGAATTCATAAATCAGCTCTCTGGGTTACGTCAAATATTTGTCCTGCTTAGAATAGAGCCACTCCGATGAACGGCATTGGATCCAATCTATTGGATACACCTCTGTGGCTTTGCGAGACAGGCACAAAGCGGCACCTACTCATGCAACACATCTGCACCAGTATCATTTGCAACTATCTACCGAAGGCCTTGGATAGATATTCCAGAGGAAAATATACCAGTCACACCTTATTCAAATAGCCTCGGTTCCTCATGTAGATGGGTCTTAAGGGTCAGCCTTGTGATCCCTTTGGTCTTATGCAGAAGTACCAAGGAGTAGTCTGTCTCTTTAGAAAGACTGTTGACATGGAAATATCTACCTTGGCAGCAACTTTGGGTGGAAAGCATTCTTGATAGCGTAAATGCATGTATTAAAATATCCATCAGCAAAACAGTGCAAAGTCAGCTTGAGAAGGACAGCAGCACTTAGAATGCAGTGGATACAGAATGAAAAGCACCTTTTAAAATGGAACGGAAAATGAGGGTGCTGGTAATGCCAGCAGAGAAAAGGAGGAAGAGGCATGAGAGGGCAGTTCATCTGCCTCTTTGCTTGGAAACAACGAGAATATCCATCCTTCTTTCGTAAGAGAGGTGGCTAAGAGTACTCCTAAACGGGGTGATCACAGGGCATTCTGCTGTGTGAAGGTGGCTCCCCTTCATTCCGTGTACAGAAGTAAACTGAACTGGCAGCTGAACGATACTTCAGCTCTGAGGACAGCACAATGTCCTTGGATGCACCTGAGGGCAGCAGGCATGTGAAGGTGGGCTAGGCCAGGTGAATGCCCTGGATGGTCAGGAGGAACAGCAGCGGGACTGCTGACCCCAGCTGCTGGAGCCTGAAGCTGATGCCTCACTTGCCTCAAGGTAGGGCTGTCGCTGGCCTGAAATATTATTTTGTCCGGTTTTGTCTGACCTGCAAGTGCCAGAAAGTGGGAGATGACAATTTGGAAGCCGCATCAGCAAGAGGGAACAAAAATGCCCTTACTTCCTCTTCCATCTTGATGCTATCTTATTCTGAATTAGGGTGACAGAATCAAAAAGTATGAAATGAACAGTATGAAGTATGGCAAGTATGAAATGTCAATTACTCCCTGGGTCCAACCAATCAGATGGCTTGAACCGGCCAGGAAGGACAGCAGCTAAGGTTCAGCTGCCAGTACCGTGTCTACATCTGCAGTCCTCAGTATGTGAAGCAGGTCCCATAAAGCTGGGCAGCACTGGACACCGTGCTGGACTAACTGCAGTATTCAGAGCAGGGTGAAGATGGCACTGCTTTTCCCCACTTCTATGGGGAAATCCTATCCTATGGCATCCTATGGATCTTTGGGAATGTTTGAGAGGCCAGCTCCCTTCTGAAAAAAGGTGTTCCATCTAAGTGGCATAAGGTCATAGGGTTGCCATCCTTCATTCTGCTTGGTCACTTAAGTCTTCCCATCGCCTCTTTATGCATGTCATTTCTCTGCAAAGTATGCCTCTCTCAGAAGTGCCAAACCTCAGGCGAAGGGAGCCTTCCCCAGACCTCACCCCCTTTTCCCCAGCCACCAGTTACTTGCTGCTTTCCCGACTTTGCTGCAGATTTCTACCACCCTAAAAAGTAGAAATGCTTCTCCCGAAGCTGACCCACTGGCAATAAGAGCTTCAAGACAAAAAAGGCTGACTTTCTGCCCACTCTCCAAAATGGAATTCAGCTCTCAGGTTGAAAGTCGCTCAGCACCAATATCTGTTGTCCCTGGTTTCCAGTGGAAGAAAGTTCCAGTTGTTTGCAATTTTACAGAGGTGTGAAATGGCAGCTCTTCTACAAGTGGAATAAATATCAGGTAATGCAGCAACCATCATGAGTGATTAGGTAAGGTACGACAGCAGCATGTACAGATTTTGGTTTTATTAATTAATTTATTTAATTTGTACGCCGTCCAATTACTTATGTCTCTGTACGGCTTACAGCATAAATAAATATATCTGGCAAAGCACTGAGAATATGCTTTTATTTTAAAACACTCTTTAGAAGTTCAAACTTCATAATTGCTCTCAACTGGGGAACACCTGCTAATGCGTTAGCGTGCTATTTATCCCAAAATATCAGGCACAGGTGGGGCTTCACAGCTAATCACTCCAAAAAAGGTCCCAGGTTTTAATGCTTCCTCACCTGGTTTCATGGGGAAGACAGCCAGCCCTAAAATGCTGCTATTTACAGGCTTCCTCTCTGACTTGGCTCACACGATAAGCCACAGTTGGGTGTGGATTGTCTGTGTGGCTTATTGTAACACCTGTACCACATGCAGAGGCGTCAGCAAATTTTATTAACCATGCACAAGCCACCCTGAGAACCATGGCTTGTTCGTGGATTGTTGAGGGCAGCATGTTCCAAGGGTGTCTTGTCATGACACCCAAACCCAGCAGTGTGGGTTAAGCATTTTCTCAGCACAGCCTACTGAGCTCTTGGCAAGAGCGGTGAAAAGCCCAGCAGCTCGCAAGACAATTTCTAGCACCACCTCCAGCTTTCCTCCTCCTCCTTCAATGCTGTTTGTCCCTCTACCAGTATAAAATGGCCCTTGGGAATGTCCTGAATGTGTTTGCAGAGCATTAGAAGCAGGCAAGTGTGTTTATGATGATTTTTAAAAGAAAATCCCCTAGTCTTGCAGAAGATTTGCCTGTCTGCTATGGAGTCTGTGGCAGTTTGTCTGCCTTGTCAGGTTTCTTGTAAATTACCTGCTCCACCTTGGGGCTTCCATTG